GCTTTCAAAAGAGCAAAGTCATATATCTTTTTCTTTAAATAATAATATTTAATGATGATAATCCTCCACAACTAATTCAGCAGCAGAACAACAATGGAAAATGACAAAAGTGTTATACAAGGCATTGCACTTAGGGACCTGTGTTGGTTTAATGTTAACTTCTTGATTTGTTATGGATAGGTAAAACAAAAGTCAGGACAAGTCAGGAGCAAGGACACTAAAGTGAATTTGCTACAATTCCTTGCAGAAACAGAACAATATGAAAGGTATAACATGACAGTAATGAGGTTCTTTAATTAGGCTAAAGAAAAAAATTATTTTTGACATCACATCTGCAAGTGATCAATAAGTTGAAACGATCGGTTCTGAAGATGTGTTCTCCGGATCACACAGTTTGTTCATGCAGAACAGAAACTCTTCCAGCACAACCCGGGTACTTAGAGTGCGATCTGTACACACTGTAATAAGGCGCCACTCCAGCCTGTTGCGTATCTCTGTCTTTTCACTCCAAGTGAATCAACTACAGTGTCAAGCAACATAAAAAAACAAATGCATAGATGCCCCCATTCTCATTATCTTTGTAGACTTGGGTACAAAAACTAAATGAACAGGATGAAAACGAAACATACAATAAATGAAATATAAAAATGTACAGTATTTATAAAGTTTGCTTTCTCTTTTTGCTTTTTATTTATTTCCCACTTTTATTATTTCTTGTTTTCACTTCACTGTGATATAACATATTTAATGACCATCTGATTCAGCCACATACCATTTAATTATTTATTCTCTGGGTAGTAAAACAGATTTTGTGCATCATCACTCCCAAAATGCATGCTCAGCTTGGAGCAAAAACTAGTCCGATATTATACCAGTTTCAACATCGTAAACTGAGGTAGAAAAACTGTGCAAAAAGCTAAAATGATGGCTGGACACTACTCAGTGTTTTGAGATGATCACAGCATTTGCCAAGAGCAGAAGATTGTTGATCCAAGCCACAAAATGAGCGAACACTGGTCTTCGGAGTCCAAATATCAGTAAAAATGTCTGTCTTGTCTCTCTCATGTCTCAAAATATAAAACTATGATGCTGTTAGAAGACTTTATCTCTTGAAACCACACACACAAAAAAATAATTATATGCATCTAAGGGTTTGTGTGAACACTGATTTTCTTGTGTATAAACAATGTGCTTGTCAATGATGTACGCATATCAGGCAGTGTAATTACTTTTTTGAAGAAATAGTGAATGGATTTAGAATTTTGTCAGCATATTTGACAGTGAATTTGTTGATATAATCACTGCAGTGCTAGCAAATATATTCAGTGCTAGCAGTGTCCTGGACTGAGCTGTCCCTCACATCTCAGGATCACAGTAGGCTAATTTCTGTTAAATATTCCATGTGATAAAATATAACTTGTCAGGAAAATTTTGACCTTATGAGCAATGACAATGATTGTCTTGCTGGAATCTGCTGGCTAACTGAGTGCAGCAGATACAAATGTTCCAAAAAAGTATATATGTATATAATAGATATATGTTATTTTAAAACATATATCTATTAAATGAATAGAAATGTGTGTGTTTATTAATGACGTTACTACATGGGAAAGGAAAATGGCACCATCTTTGGTTGCTAGTGGAAACAAAATAATCCACAGTAGATACTGTTTTACAAGGTTATGATAATGGGGTTTCTGAACTTAAGACATATTTTTACTTTTCCTCCAAAGATTGTTTCAATTATATCTAAATTCTTAAAACCACCTTCCTATATTGTTTCATCTTGGTTACATGATCTATTATCCACCCATATTAACGGTATGGTAAATTCCTTTCCTCAGCATCATAGTGGTAGCTTTGGTATTGATTTCAAGAGTTGTGAAATTGTTAATTTAAGTTCAGTTTTTTACTTCATGGTTGAAAATGCTTTAGGCTATTTTGTGCTTTATTGTGCCAACTTCAACACTAAGGTATATTACATCCTAACAAGTCAAAAGTTATTGTCGTATATTTTAAAATTGCACCTTGAGTGCCATTACTGTAGCTTTATGCCATCAATTTCAGCATGATCTGTACAAAAATCAGATTTTGGCCTTCTTGAAAGTATTCCGAATTCAATTCAGGTATTATCTCCTGGACAAGCTAAGATGCTTATACATTAGCTATCCAGGCAGCTGGATGGCAATTCTGGAGCACACAAAGACTTCCCTTTAATAGGTTGGGGAGAGTGAGGAGAGCCAAAGCTATGCACTGATTTCCACATGGATATGGCCTATGGCACAGGGGTACTTGCCCTCAGCCATCTGCACTGATTTGACAAATGATTCTATATCAAAGGCTTCTGCACTGATTTGGGTGGTAATTGATTGGAAGTGAAGACTTCAAATCCCTGATTGGTTTAGCAGGATGTGGGGCTGAGATGTGATGGCAAGTGTGAGAATTTTAAGAATAGGCAGCAAGAGAGAAATGAGTCTACAGTGCAGGAGATTTGTAAAATGTACTCTAAAAGGGATTTTCAAAGTATGGGAAAGGTTGCCCTCCTACAGAGAGCAAATGGATAACTGTGCTTAACTCCCCTACCACCACAAAAAAAGCAAAAAAACCTTTTTGCCATTTCATTTTTGTAATTCTTCTTGATCTTGCTACACTTGACGTTCCATTCACAGGTTTCACTGATGTTGTGGCATTTACATGCCTTAGACATGTGTAGCACCACATGACACAATACTTTAGTTACCTTGTCATTTGATGTGCCAAAAGCATGAACTATCTACTGTTGTGATTACAGTTCATTTAACCTCCTGCAAAAAAACAAAAAATCTCCCCAAGTTCTGCAGACAACATGGTGACACTGGAGCGTCTTCATCTCGAAAATCTCAACTTTAACATGAAGGGTCATTTTTATTTTCTTTAATTTTTTACTTGGTCTACAATATAGCTTCAGTTACCAAAAATCTGTCCATTTTGTATCTGGCACAAGTTTGCTGAAGTACACTAAATGTTTGCATTTACTATTTCCATTTTTTTCCCTTCATGTTGTAACTCCATTTGCCCCATCCCAAAAGATATCTAGAAGGACCCACTCCTTAAACAGTCATGTATTGTACAATTCTTGCTCAATTACACCTTATGAGAAACCTAAGTTAATAAATAAGTAAGCATTTTCTTCACAGTATAGCCATAGGATAAATTTAAATAAAACAATGCAGCTCTAATGCAGCTGTCAGGGTATCTGATTTGCAAGTGTCTCCATGTAGACTGGATTTCACCATTCAAAAAGAGGAATTTGATTAGAAATGGAATATTATTGATTTGTTCCACACAAATGTGTAGTGTGATGCAGATATATGGGCATTGCAAATTGGCTTAGAGGGAAATATGTATTATGTCTTATCTTTCATCAATTTCCCCTAAGCCTTTGATGCCATTAGCCATCGTTGTGTAAATTGTCAGTCTTCCTTAAAAAGTATATGTCCTGCAAAAGAGTGTTAAAACCTGCTAATATTTTCCAAAAAAATATGAGGTTTTCTTTCATTTGACAGCAGCCAAGTATTCACAGATGAAAAACATATAATTTAATCATTAGCACTGATTAAAGGAAAAGGAGTAGGCTGCCAGAAAATCTCAGGGATTCCTTTTCAGTCCAGTACTATCTGTGGGAAAGACAGTTAACATGAAGTTGTTCCCAACAGCATACCTCCATCTTGAATGGCAGCTCTCTTGCCCTTCTGTGTTTGAATGGGTGAAAGTGGCATCAACACTGCAGAGCAGTTTGGTGCTAAGATGACACACAACTTTTTTTAAAGTTCATTTGGAATAGACTAAATCTAAACAAAAATGAATTGGGTCATATTATCCTTATGACATTTCAAGTGGGACCTTAAAGCTGTATATACATTTGAAGTGTTTGCATCATGCAGGCCATGCTATAACTAGCTCCAACCTACCAATGCAGTCATGTGAACAGTGTGACATGTTGAATATTCTGCCGATAAGCCAGCATAGTGCAGAGGATTGTTAATGCGGTTGTGACAGGGATGCTACGCACATATAGGCCCCACTGCCTTTATTACATGGCAGGATGACTGCACTGCATACCTTTTGCCATTTGACACAGACATGTGTTGTTTGCTAGTGACAGATGCTGCACAGTACTGGTCCCAGAGGTCACAAATGACCTTTGGATTGGCTTTTTTTTTTCAGTCACAAAGCATTATTTGCTTGACGATAGCCACCGATGTAACCCCGGGCATTGCGACGGAGCCATGGGTTGTTACTGCTCGTCTTTTGAGCTCACATTTACCTCAGCCGACTTTTGTGCTTGTGTCTACGTGTACTTGTATGTCAGAGAGGGAGATTGATTGAATATACGTGTGTCAGTGCACTTTAATGTAAAAGCACATGAATGCTGGTCTGCGGGAAGATGCCTCAATAACTACCAACAGTTGTGATGCTTAAACCTCAGCTAAATTGCTACACGTTGATCATCTAGTTCTGAAGCTAGACAGATTCACTTTTATCATGCAGAATTATTCACGAAGATGTGCAAGTTCTGTTGCCTTTTTTTAGTTGCAGAATGACTCTACTGGTAGGCATTTTATCCAAGACCACCAGGGTAAAGTGCTTTAAAGAAGTAGGGTGTCTGTAAAGGGTCTTGCTCACCTCTCTCTACAAGGGACTCTCTTTTAGTAACAAAATGAGACGCAAGATTTAAGTTATTTCAGAAATGGCAGAAACAAGTTGCAGTGCAAGCTCATTTTGTCAGGAGTAATTGAACTCTACCCAAACCCTCTCTGCATCTGATATCTTTTTATGTTACAAACATGTGCATGTTTATGAATGGACCACAGAAGCCCTTTTATTTTATTAGATGCACCTTGCCAGTACTGAGTTAGAGTCCATTTTACCTGTAGAACTGCAATAGTAACGATTCAACAATGTCTCAGAAACATTCCTCTGAGACTTTTCTCCTTATTTACGTTAGAGCAGTTGCTTACATCACACAGTTGAGGCAGATTTCTTGACTGTACATCCCTGATGCAAATCTCCTGTTCCACCACATCCCAGAGGTGCTCTACTGGATTGAGATCTGGCGACTGTGGACACAATGGGAGTAGAGTGAACGCATTGTCATATTCAAGAAACCAGTTTGAAATAATCTGATCTTTGTGACACATTGGATAGTCTTGGTAGGAGTAGTAGTTATAAAAAAGGGACATTATGGTCTTAATGGGATGGACATGGTCAGCAGTAATACTAAAGTAGGCTGTGGCATTTTAAAATGCTCAAGCTACTAAGGGGCTCAAAAAATATCCATCCCCCACATGATCCTGCCTTGCTCTTCATGCAAGGCAGGATGAATCTATCTTTTTTTATCCTGTTTACATCTGATTATGTCTGGCTATTGCATTCCTGTGTAATTTCTCAATTTTGCAGTGGAGGATGGTTGTTTACAGTGCTGGCAATTACCGGTAAGCTCCTTAGCATTGAACTGCCGCATTCCACACGTCACTGGCAAATGTTAGCAATTGGGTAAAATTTAAAACTTCAGCACAGTCCACACCTCTAGGAAGCAATCAGATCTCAACAGCCAAGAGCCCAGACTCTCTGTATGAATCAAATAGCATAGGATAAGGGGCTGGTTTTAAGCAGGTGACACCAGATTAGAGCTAAAATCGAGACATATGAGATGAGTGAACGCTTTCAAAATCAGTCCAATTTTGGTTAGTTTATCTAAGCTGTAGCCTCACTTTGCTGTTTTAGCTGACCAGGATGGCACCCAACATATTCTTTTGCAGCTGACGTTTATGTGCATCCTGGCGACATCCTAACATGTTGTGAATTTAAATATGGTGTTTGGTAAACCTTATCCAAATTAATGCTGTCCATTTATTGTCTACTACCTGTTTTCCTTGGTCCTTAATAAGGCATTTTGCTCCATAAAATGGCTAGGCAACAGATAATTTCATTTTTAAGTTTCCTGAAAGTAAAAATCTCCACAGAGTAAACAGCAAACAGCCAAGTAGGCTTAAAGTCACTTCCATGGCCTTTCTTCTACATTGGTGTAACAATGTCTTCACTATGTTTAGAATTCTTGCTAATGCCATGTAATCAAATCAATTTGCTGTTTGTGTTAAGAAATTAAACAGGTGTATCTAATAAATTGGCTGCTGCATGGGTGTTATTGCATCAGGCCATCTCAAATAGTTCAAGTTAAAATCATTCAGCTTTGACAAAGAAACAAACAGATCATAATTACAACTCTAAAGCTGCAATGGCATGTTTCTACGCTTGCATCAGTGATTATATTTCATTTTGTTCCCTGTCATGCAGTGATGTGAACCTGTAATGCATACTGGATAAAACCTTGTGAAAAACCAACAAAATTTCTACTGCCTCAAGCTCTGTGTCAGAAATATGATCTTACCTTCACCTCTTACACTGAATGCTACACTGTAATGATGGTGTGAGGTGAACCCACACATCAATTATTCACATAATGCAAGATTTCTCACTTTTTATCTTCTCACTGGCAAGGGAGGACCATTTAGGAAAAGCAGAGGTGAACAATTGAGAAAAAAAAAAGTGGAGTGAATGCTCGGAAGAAATAGAATTTTGCATTGCCCTGTCAATGCTCTTGATGAAAGTTATAATTGTAGTTTGATAATATGTGGACCATGGGGATGTTCACTATGCAATATGTGGCCTTTAGATTAGTATCACTATGGAAACCAAAGGCCCTGAACGACCTGTAGTGCCCACCCACTTGGACAGCCGTTAATCATCTTCGTTCAGATCCTGGCACTGCAGAATTTGGCCAGTGTGTCAAGAAGCAATTATATATACTTAGTGCTTGGGCATCAGATCTCCTCCCTCCTCCTTTTCCTCGCTCCCTCTCACACTCTTAATATAATCATAGAGCAGTCAGTTTTAAAGGCTTCTGTTCACTTCAATGTCTATCTGGGGGATTCACACAATGTAGAGGAAAAAAAAAGTTTCAAAAGAGAGAATATATTCCATTCTGAGAACCATAATAATCAGAATACTCTTTACATATAAATCGTATTCAGCCATTTACTCATTTTACCAGCCTCCTGAGCTGACTGACATACTAAATTACCCCAGCTGGCCCCATTGCATTCACTGCACATATTGGGCTGGTGCGGATCATGGAGACTAATGTGAGCTGACTAGAGGGAGATTATGTTCCGCTGCTAACAGCTAAAACGTGAATAACACCATCCACAAACTCACGGTGTTCCCCTGTTACATCAACCCCGATCAACTATTTGAAGATGGAAAGAGAAGAAGTCCAGTCAAGATATAATCAGATAGAAATATGGCAGACAGACATAGTACAGGCATCCAAAGTGAGGTTGTAGTTCCTGCACAAAAACATTTTCCAATGCCTAATTATATTAGATTGTGCCAATTATCAATTTGTAGCACAGAGATAAAATGTTTACTAATGTGAGTATTTTGCAATGATTGCTGTTTTCTAAATTATAAAAAGGGTGTTTTCAGTTATGTGCTATAATAAGGAAAGTTATGTGGCAGTGTATATAACTGCCATAAAATTGATAGCCCTTCCTTTTTTATAGGAAGAAATTATTTCTGCATTAAATGATAACTTTAAAAGTCACAAATTAGTAAAAAGTGCTGAGTTGTTTCTTTACCCCAAATGCTGGGCTAATGCTATTGGAACAGACAGTAGGTGATTTTCACACTAAAAAGACTGACTCAAAATATTGACTTAAGTTAGTTCTCCATTGTCAACTCTCATTGTGTTAGGTTAAAATGTGTGAGTCCCACCATGACTCATATATTGAGTGAAACTTTTGTTTTGAAAACCATCTGTCTCACAGGCCATTATTTTCACAACATTTTTATTAGCCTCATTGTTAAACTTTTGTCACTTTGACCTCTCTTCTGGTTAAAAACAAAAACAGTCACCTGAACCTGCAGTGTTAAATCAACTGAGAGCTGGATATGTCCATATTTGATCCAAATTACAATAGCAAAAACCCAAGCTAGTGTCTAGTTGCACTGCAGTTTATAGAGGACTGCAATTTCATTCTCTTTATCTGTTTAGCTTTCACTTGCTTCTTGTTTTTGTCTTGTTACTAAAACAAGATCAGGCAAAAAAAAAAAAAAAAGAAAGAAAAAGAAAAACATACTTGGGCAACAACAACGCATGATTAGAAATATTTTTTTACTGCGTAAAATTCCCTGCTTGACACACACATAACACATATCAGAAATTTGACACAGTGAAAAAATCTGGCAAATTGAGAGGGAACCATGTTCAAAGTTCAGGCCATAGAGTTAAGGACCAGACATGTTATTTTGGCACTGACATACAAACGACAAAGTAAATTGCTTTCCATTAGATTTCTCATCAACAGACTGGGAGGAGAAACACATTGGTTTGTTATCATTTACTGTCTAGCAACTATCTTTGGATATGAATGCACCGAGAGTCATTTTAGACAGCTGCTTGTGCATTAGGGATGTGGAGCAGTGCTAGGCTTTGAACAGTTGATGACAGGCTGTCAGACAGCCTCCATCCACTGGGCTCCTTTTACCAAGGTCCACTTTTGCAATGAGCCACTCTCCACCATAACAGCCATTCATCCAGAAAAGGACATCGGCATTTTTGATGTGTTTGGTGCTAAGTGAAGTAAAGTTGTGCGAACTTCACTGTATAGCACCCTATCACATTTGCAAGCACACGCTGAGAGGAAAGGTTGAAGGGGAGAGTAACTTTACTTCACTGAGATGACTTGAGACTATCAGAGAGAAATAATGACTTTGACTGGGCCTGATAAGTACTAATTAGCATTGAATAATTCTGCCCTTCTTGCCTCATGTTAAATAGGTCTTGAATGATTAACTGTATGCTCAAAGGAAGAGCCAAAAATGAAATTGTTGGTTTGAAAAAAAAGCAGCTTCTTTTAGAATCTCTGGTAAAAAGTTAGAATTTATACATAATTTCACAAAGAATAATACACTCATTGAGGCTTTGATCGAACTTGTGAAACAAAAAAAAAAAAAAAAACACAAGGTTTGCAAAAACCAAAGAGTAGCATTTCCAGGAAAAAAAGACAAAAAAATAAAATAAAATAAAAATACAGACTTACATTTTAACTTAAGAACATCCTAAAATATCTACCATTATTTTACAGAATTATGTTTTATTCCTTGACTGAAATAAAGCAGGAGCTTACCTTATGAGGACAAATGGGTGGTGGGGAGTTAAAAGTCTTCTCTGGTGTCTGGCCGGGGTTCTACAAGAAAAACACATTATCAGGGATGTGTAGAGTGCATCTCCAGGCAAATCTTTAGTGACAGAAGTTGCAGCTTATGTCCTGGTGCTTGCTATTTAGCATTTTTGTTATATTTTTTCATGGGGGTTAAGTGGCTCTCCACTTCCACTCTCTGCCACCCACTAATCCAGAAGCAGCAGCTTTTGTTGATCGTCACATTTTAAATGTTTCAGGAGCCTCATTTCTCCAAGCCTCACTTAGTGGGGAATAAGGCGATTTACGTAACATTTCCCAGACATTTTTATCCAGAGGGTCTCACAAATGAGTGACATACAGGTTTTCAAATTTATATCTCTGAAAAGTTAATTATATCAGTAATTCAATTCAAAAAATTTAATTTGTACATATAAAACTCTCAATTCTGTTACCTATGATTTTCAGCTAATGCAAAAACAAATTCCAGTTTTTCAGAAAATGGTAATTTGGATGATGTTGGAGTAGTACTGTACACCGTATTTGATGGGTTGTGGCTCCTTTTGAAGGTGATACTGCAGTGTGGCATGAAGGTATTCAGCTTGTTGTACAGCTGAAGCATCAAGGAACCCTAGTTTACTTGAGCAAAAAAGTTCAGCTCTTCTGTTGGGTCTGGTACGTTGTCATACTCTTGACAATACCTCCTGAAGTGTGGGGGAGGCGGGATAATTTTCAAAATCAAACACAATCTTGCTTTGACTTAGAATCTTTTGAAGGCTGTTGTTGTATAAGCACATTTTTCTATCAGAAGTTTTACCTTTCACTAAACTTTCCAATGTTGGATACGGCACTGAACTGCCAAGAACTTTTATAATGGCCTTTAGTAGCTTAATCTTATTTGGAGTTTGCATTGCGTATAAGTTTAAATAAGCAAGCTAATACTATTCAAATGGGCTTTTTAAATTGGTGTTTTGTAATATTCTACCTTCCTGAGAAGAATAATTGAGGGCTCTCAATGAAGAAATATCACAATTAACAGAAATAAATGCTTGAAATACATCACTCATTGCAAATACATCTTTGTAGTCTATGAGTATCACTTTTCTTTTAACTGAATTCCCTAAAAAAAAAATCCCTTTTTTATTTTTAAATTATTAATATGCACCAGTTTGTGATTACCATGGAGTTTGGTGTTTTGCCCAAACACTAGAATCTGCAAATATTTTCTCTCCTTGACCATTTTACTATCCTGATTATAAATTTCATGTTTTTGCCTTTGTTTTCCAGTTCTCCATATTTCTATCTCTCCACATGGATTATAAATCCTTCTTTGTCAGAAGATTTCACTGAGCATATGTTCAGGACTTTTGCAAAGTCCTGGTAGCACCTTTTGAGGTTAAATGATCATCACATTGTTAATACACCAATACATCACTCAGACACAAGAAAACACCATTAAAAAGTACACACAAGGTACGCCAACAAGGCAACAACAGATGGTCCTGCTGCTTGTGATTATGCAGAGATCCAAAGTATTTGCATTCTCACAAAGCAACTGCACAAAAAAAAGGAGTAAACAACAAGCCTTTTTAAACTGACCTGGGTGAGAAATGAAAAGAGCAGTGGGTGAGGCCAAACCCAGCAGGAAAGTGGATGGGCTCAGAAAATGTCTTTTGAAATCTACTAAGGGTCTACCCCCTGGGAAGGCCCTGTTGATTTCCAAGCAGGTGCTTTCAGTTATGTCCTCATATCCAATTATGTGCCTGTGGTATGTCTGATGCGCTGTGACACTATTAATGGTTGCCTTATGGTATCACCAGGACAGATGAGACACTCAGCTCTCCAGACTCTTAACATCTATATTTCATTGCCGCGTAGGAGGAGAACACCTCACTGGCCGCAGCAGCCGAAGGAGGAAAAAAAAAAAAGAAAAAGAAAAACAAGCAGGCTTTCAGCGTAACGTAAACACCATGGTATAAAATATAAATGACTAAATGGCTTTTTCTGTGACGGTAGAATTAGCAGACAAAATTTTCCCTACAGATTGGGGATGTAACGTAGACATGATATCTTAACGACGACAAGCAAGCACATATTTTTTCCTTCTTTTGGAATATGAGCAAAAAATGGGTTTTGTTTGTTTTCTCAATGTTCTTTTTTTTCTGGTTTTTCCTCAGAGATGTGATGAAATTACCCGACCTTGGATCCAGACTTTGCTTCCAAAACAGTCCATTTTAAATTCCTTGCTATATTTTAAAGATGGAAAAGAAAGTGATTTTTTCCCAATTAATTATGAAGTGACCAAGGCATTTTCAGTACAGAAAATTTGGCCCTTTTCAACTGAAGGTTAATCAATAAGTTAGAAATGAAAAAGAACAGCCTCACACAATTCATTCCACTATAGCTTGTAAATAACTTAAAATATATTGTATTTTATGTCAATTTTTAAATTTCACATGGTTCATTAAAAAGCACAAATAATGTGATGAAATAAAGACTGATGGTATAAAATGTGTTTCTAAAGTCAAAATGGACTTTTGTTCATTTAAGTAAGAATCCCTGATGCCAGCCAGAGATGATTTAAAGTCCCTCCATTTGTTTGTACATATAAATATGCACTTTTTAGCTACAGCGATAGTTTTATTTTAAAGTTTCTATTCTCATTTCATTCTTCAAGCTTGGTTAAATGTCACTTTTTATTCACACATCATGCCTTTGTCACCCAGTGCTACTGAATCCCACTCCTGCAGACACAAATTATTAATCATTAGTATTTCATCAGTGGGAAACTGTGCAGCTTTTGTGAGAAACAGCTAATGGCTCATCCTCAGATTTATGAGAGATATGGAGGATGGCACATTCAGAGGAGAAAACCAAAGTGAGAGCACAAAACACAAAAAACAGCTGTCACTTTTCAACTTTGGTCATTGACATTTTGTATCTGATAAAGAAACGACATTGACAGAGCTTGCAACAGAGGGCATTTGATTACACCACATATTGATGTTTTTGTATTTTCAGAGTGCTGCGGGTGGTTATTGTAATTTGATGAGGCCCAGAGAGCACAATTCTATGATATATAACAGAAATAATTTTCTGAGGAAATAGAACGATAACTGAAAAATGAGGTTTCTTCGTCTGACTTCTTGGAGACATGCTGATTTGGTAAAAATGCTTTTGCTCTTCCTAAAAACATTTTTTCTCTTCAACCTGATACCTTCCATCAAAGGCTCCTACAACTCATAAACAGTCTTAATTACCTGTGCTGAACAACAAGGGACATACAACACCTTGCACACTCATTGACAACACTGAAGTGTCAAAAGCACAAAAAAATTAACCTTTTATCGCTGTGTCACATTCTGTCTCTGAAGATGTTAGAAAAAAGAAATCAAGTACAATTTTTGAGAGGGGAAAGAAACTCCCATTCATCTTTACATGAAATCATTTAGATCACTATTATTGGCAACTCAGATAATTTCATGAAATGGATGTAGTCACACAATATATTCACACACCATTCACACCATTTTCATATTACACCTACAATCCATTTATTTCATTGGGATTTTTTGGTAGACCAACACTAAGCACAGCTTAATTCTTCAATGGAAAACAGAGACACTTGATTTAATTGTAATAATTTCAGTCATGATATAGATCTAAAAAGTGTGGCTTGCATTTGTTTTCAGAGTCTGTTAGACAAGACATTGCAGAATGTCTGTTGAATTTCAGTTTCAAGACTTTTGGGCTGACCGTTGGAGATAGACACCAGGGACAAAAAATTTATAATACTGGATGGATGGATGGATGGATGGATGGATGGATGGATGGATGGATGGATGGATGGATGGATGGATGGATGGATGGATGGATGGAACAGGTCTTTTGCATCTTTGCACAATCACAGATGTAAACATTGGCCAATTTTTCTTTACCAAATAACTCAAGATGAGTCAGATTGGTTGGAAAATGTCTAAGAACACAAATTTACATACGTTTTCTTTGCTTCATAATGTCTTTCTCTTTGTCGCTTTATTGATTTGCTGGTTGAGATTTTTTCAAGCAAATGCAGTATTTGCAGGGAATACTGGATGAATGTGAAGCCAACAGGGAACCCCTGAATACCAATACATGTATTTGGGTTTGTAACAATATAAAATGTGGAAAAGTTTATTAGCCTATGTCTGTTTTGTAAATATGGTGAAACAGGTGCCTCTTTCTTTTAGCCAATACTTAAAAGTTGAAAAGACAACAAAATAAGTAATTCAAGTATGAGGCAGGTATGTGCCAATGCTAATAAGTGAGGAAATAACTACAAAAACATAGCCTGAGTCTATAATCAGAACAATATTCAGAAAGTTTATGAACAACTTTAACCGTGAGACACAGTTGGGATCTACTGTAAGTTTTTCTCACCATTACAAGTAAGAAAATAGAAGAAATATAAAATTCCCAAAACTCTCAGTAAAAGAACTGCAGAAAAGATTTTCATCTTGGGGCCACCAAGTCTCTATTGCACTTATTTATTTTGGGGCTTTTCTAGGCATCCTTGGCAATAATTGTGGAGGGTGATGTATACCCCCAATACAGGTTCATGTAGCAGGAGTAATATATAACAATGTAGTCACATTCATTGCTTCCCCAAGAAGCCTCACGGAAGAGAAACAAAAGCACCATTCAGAGCAGAGTGGACAGGGACTTGTGGCACATTTGTGCTCATCACCCCCAACGACTCTGCCTCTATTTTGTGGACATACAAAGAGGCTTTATACTGTGATCTTGCCCAGCCTGTGCTAAAGTGCAGCACAGCATTCAGTAAACTGTATTCCTATCAGTTAGTTACTTCTTTTCTAGCTCCATTTGCTACCCCAACACTGCAGCCCTATCCTACCCCCTTCCTCAAAACGACCAATAATATACAGTTCTTTGACTGGGATTAAAGGAGCAATGTAGTTCAAGGATTATCAAATGCCTTTGATCATGTGACTGCCATGTTTTTGATCTACAGAACATAGCTCCAAATATATTCTCTTTCTCGTGCCTTC